GGCTCACTCCACGTGCCCAACAACACGCAGCCATTGAGCACTTCCTGTGGCTCACTCCATGTGCTCAACCTGTGAGAATACAGTGAGTGAAGCAGCAAGAGGCATCCTGTGCTGTGATTTCAGACATGAATCATCATCCTACTAATGACCATGGAAACACACTCTGAGATTAGAAACAAAGGCATCCTGACTCTCCTTTCAGGAAGTTGAGGTCTGATGGGGAAGATAAACATGAGCTTTAATCTTATAACAAACCATATAATACTATATAACTATAAAATATAATCTGATGCTAGAGCTATGGGAAGACAGGGACACGAAAAGAAGGAAGAAAAAGCTTTTGAAAGAAATTACCGAAAAAGGAGAAAATCATGCTGCTAGGGGTGGGGAGAATGAGGAAGTAAACACAGAAACTGTAGAGCTTAAAATTTTTCAAAGCTCCCCAATGTTATCTTCTTATGAAGTGTCCAACTACGCCATATGCCCCCACAGTCCATAGAGGGAGCTCCAGCTCGCCGCCAGCACCCTAAAGAACAGTCTAGTCAGCAAGGAGCAAAGGGTCTGAGTCTGGACCACTAATGATCCCTCCCTTATGGCCTGCGGAAATACATGTGGGGGCTCAGAATGCAAAAATAATTGCCCATCCAGTCATAATCGCCATTCTTACTATCCCCTTATCTGCAAGTCTCCTGTAATGGGCCTGGCCAGCCTCCCCCTTAAGGAATGAAAGGTCCAGGAGAAAGAGCTGTGAGAAACAGCTTATTTGAAAATAAATATAAATAAGTAATAGTGTTTAGGTGACAGGCACAGGAAGCCCCAAGTAGAATTTTAAAATGGACAAATTAAGGGTAAAAAAAACCAAAAAACTAATCTACTTATCACTTAGTGCAGGATGCGCCTCACTGGGGGTGGGAGTGGCAAGGCCACTATTACCTCTCCCAGAGGACTACAGGCCCCACCCCTCTCTCTTTTCAAAAATTTCATTCTCCAGGCCCCATTGCCGCCTCCCTGCTCAGCGCTTCCTCCCAAAGCTTTGAACAATATTTCCTAAAAGACTTAACTCTACAGGAAAGAGGAAGGAAGGTAAAAATGAGAGATTTTAGCATATGAGTATAAACCAGAAGCAGTTAATTAACAGAGAAGTTCATAACCGAACCAAATTACCTACCCTCGTCCTTTGCCTACCCTGATTTTGCCTAGCCCTTTTCAAAGTCTCAACTTCAGAGTTTTCCGGGTGGTACCAGAATCCTGACAGAATGCTCTTCTCAAATGCCATGTTAGAAATATCTTCCTAACAGGGCTTGACTTTGTATAGGAAGTAACCTTCCCCTTACCGCTCCCAACGGCTCAGTCTGAATGAGGTCTTGTATGTTCTCTGTGTATTTGTGTGCAAGAACATAGCAATCTGTGTGCTGGGTACTTGTATGGCAAGCTACACTTCGGGGCATGGAGAATGACAGAAAGACATCAAACATGGATGGCCTGACTGTGTCCTGATAGTTTTCAGCATAGCAAAAATATCATCATGTAGCAGCTCAATTGACATAAGTATGCCAGCCTATTATGGAATCTCTGCTAGGATCATTTCCTTCTAAAGTCATTCTGGCTCATGGTAGACTTTTTCCCTCTCTAACATTTGCTTTGGTTAAATGCTAAAGAGTATAGCCAGATACATCAGAGGTGCAGGCTTAGAAACGATGGCCTTCACACCTCAGGTTGCACAGAATCCCATCAATATCCCCCAAGCTCATCCTCCTGTCCCCACTGCCAGTACCTGTACTTCGGGGGAAGTTGGGTATCTCGCTGTAGTCAAAGACCTGCGCCTGAGTTACTTTCTCAGCCAGACCTCCTAGCCCAGAACCACAGATCACTGCCACTTGAGGTCGGTGCTTGGTGTGGGACAGAAGCCATTCGGCTGTCTTCTGGTAATCTTCATATGTGAATCTAGGAAAAAAGAGAAATCAAGGTGAGCTCCACTCCCATTGAAGATGGCAGGCAGACATACTGAGGCAGCAGGGGACAGAGGAGCTTCCCAAAGACCAGAGAGGACGTTCCTCTCCCTCACCAGAGGCCTGGCTATATTCACCCAACTACCCACCTCTCTGGGAATCAGATTGAAGTCTGATGTAAATAAATCCAGCTCTGTGTTAGTCTGGGTAGACTAGAGAAATTTATAGACACTCATAGGTGTATAGGAAAGAGCTTTATGTAAAGAGTACATTAAGAAAACATCTCAGCCCAGTCCAGATCAAGTCCATAAGTCCAATGTTAGCCCATAGGTCCAGTACCAGTCTGTTAGTTCCTCTTCAGACTCACGCAGCCATGCAATGAGGCTGAATGCAAGAAGATCACAGGCCAGTGAGTGGAAAGACTTATGGATCCAGTGGCAGTAGAAGCATCTCAGCGCTGGTATGGGTCTCCAAGTGGTTCCTCCAGCTCCAAGGCTCTGGCTGCTATCCTCATAGATCCATGTGGCTCGTCAACAGGAATGTCTCGCAGGGAATGAGTGTGTGTCCTGTCTCCAGCAAGCTATTTATCTCCTTAGTGCCTCCAAATGAGGCCATCAAGCTGCAACCTGATTGACAAACTAAACTCCACCCCTTCACTCTTAATAGTCTCAAATTGACAACAGATTATGTAACTACCACAAGCTCCATTCCAGAGCCACATTAGTGAGTTTAATAATTAACCTTGTAAGAACAAGGTAAGAAGGAAAAGCAAGAACAGTGAAATATAGTGGAAAAGGAAGCAAGTATGGTGAAGGGGCTGGGCCTGACGAGAAAGGCAATCACTCAAAATGGGATGCAGACCTACCTTAGAGCAGGAACAAACCCAAGCCCATCTCCTTAGTACCCTTTCATCCCCCACTCAAGGTGTAAATAAGGCTAACTAACTTGACTGCAGAGGGGAGGTCAATTGCCTCACCCTCCAAGTCTCCCCTCAGTCAATTACTAAGAGGTACCAGTGGAAGTCCATGCCATCCCTCGTTTTCCTGCATCCTCATGTCTGGGATTCCCATGCCCCATAAGGTTTCACAAGGCTATAAAGCATTACAAAAGCAGACTTCCACCTCTTTTTCCGGTGGAACAGCTGGTGGATTTGAACTGCTGACCGTACCATTAACCAAGGCCTAAACCATTCCTCCATCATGACTCCATGGCTGCTATAAATCAAGGAGATATAATCAACCTCATCTAACTTAAGAGTGTCAGCTTAAAAATGACTTACTAACAAAATAGACTAATCAATTCCAACAACGAAAAATGGCACTGACACACACAATCCTTGGAAATCTTTTTTACAGCTTTTACCCCACCTGTGATTTCTTCCCTGCCTCTTTTCCCCTTTGCCTGCCCACCCCCACTGTCTGTTCTCCAAGGCTCTTTACCCCACAGGGACTTCAGAAGACAGGGAGACCCAAGGACTTACACTAATCCAGAAGTTGTACACAAGCAGAACCCAGAACTTCGCTCGCACTTCCAAATGCCCACCCATCTAAGAAGGTTAGAAACGAAGACGGAACTGGGATGTGATGAGGCTGAACACAGCTAACCAAGTCTTCAGAGGAATTATTTTTTCAAAAGCAGAGCCTGGGAAACCATCTATGATGCTACTGTACATCAGTCTATCTGCAGAGAAGTGGCTGGGTAAATAGGCAGAGAGCAGGGCAACAGAGCTGGAGTCACCTGACAAAGAGAAGTGAGGACCCATTAGGAGAGGACCATGAGGGGACCCTCTCGTGCAGATGCACCCCCAACAAGTGAAGAGGAAATCAAAGAAGGGTGTAGCTGTGGCCTCCCGGGAAATGGAACCAAAGTGCTCAGAGGATTTTTAGCAGGGCTGATTCCTGAGCATCTAAAAGTCGCTGACTCTCTAGTGCTGGAAACTTGGACAGGGAATTAATTGCAGGACAAAGCGGAGGGAAGGGTTTCTAAAGTGTGGGGGGAGGGGAGTGGGCGGGCTCTGTTGCTCTATTCAATTGGCTAGAATTTTCTTCCCTCCCGGGAGAACTCTACCTCCCCCACCCATCCACCCCTCCCTTGGAGGCTCCATCCTCGAATCCCATGGATGGGGTTTCCAATTTGGAGGAGGGAGTTACAGTCTCGGAAACGCACAGGGGCAGTTCTACCCGCGTCCTGTTGGGTCACTATGAGTCGCCATCAACTCGATGGCAGTGGATTTAGTTTTAGTGAGAGTGGGCACGGAGCCTGGCCGATCTCTTTTGTAAAGGAGAAACTCCTAATCGGAGCATCAAAATCACATGGTGCTTTTGCCTAGACCCAGATTAGAATCTGTGATTGCATCTGCACGTCTCTTCCCGGTCTGTGGAGTGCGGGGCCGGCGGGTCAGTCCCTACACGGCTCCCAGCATCCAGACTCGTGCGCCGGCTGCTTTTACGCGTGGCCTCCACCGCACGAACGAGTCTTCTTCCTGTGCTGGTGGCGCACCCCCTGCTCGGTTCTGTGCGCGCCCTAGCGCCGCGCGCCGGCTGCCACACTGCTTTGCCGCCTTGTCCCTGACACCGGGCTCCATGCCAGGCCTCTCTGCATCTCCCAGGCACTCGCTCCCTGGCAGCCATTTCCCCTCCCCAGGGACCTCAGAGGCCCCACAGACCTGTTTCCCAACTCACTGGTTCTCCATGGTCCCGGCGATGCCCTCGGGATGCGCCCGCGAGTCTCCGCCCGGATCCGCTGCGCTGGATTGACATGCAAGTGCTGAGATCTGGCAGGCACGGTCAGTGCCCTAAGCCCTTGGTGCTGGCTTTTATCTCCAGTCCCTCCCGGAGTCCCCAGCCAATGGCCGCTGAGCTCGCGGGCTGGGCCTGTCTCCTTGGTGACTCACCCTGATTCAATCACCTGTGACTGGGCTGCAAACCTCGCCCAGGTCCCTCTTCCTCCCGGTCCTGGACCACCCTTTAGCCCTAGGGACATCCATCCTTGTAGCACCGCCCCTATTCCTGAGGGGGCGGGGGGCGGGGCGAGGGTGTGGAGGTTTTCAGAAAGGAGGTCTGTGCGTGCAGTGGGCTGGAAGGCAGGAAAAAAGTCCGGAATCCTCTATGTGCAACTTCTTCACGGCTTGTCTACAGCCCTGAGAAATTCTAAAAGGAAATGCTAAACCTTAGATGGCACACCTTAGCACGAAATGTTGTGCTCCTATAACTGAGGTGCTTCCTGGACAGGAAAAGCAGGGTCCACCCTGGCCACCGTGCTCACCTGAAGGTGACAAGGTTTGAGAGAGTAGTCGTACCTCATACTCTGAAAGCCTCGTGGGAAGGAGAACCCGTTAGAGGTAAGAATCCAGCCGAATGACAGGGTTGAAAACACCCCTGGGGGTTTCCAGAGTGTTCGAACCTCTGACCTTCTTGTTAGCAGTTCAATGCTTAGCCCTCTATACCATCCGGGCTCCTAGGGAGAATAGAGAGGGGGAAGTAATCCCATAATTTATGGAATGCTGGATTAAATAACCCGTATGATTAGAAAAGGATTCCTAGAAAGGTAAATATATCTGTAACAGAACCACACACTATACTATCTTTGTAAGGATTCAGCTATTTTCTTTTTTTTTAACAGTTGGCACTACATCCACATGTCATACAATTCGATAATTCAATCAAGAAGAGAGTTGTGTGTACAATCGTCACCACAATCAATTCTAGAACATTTTCTTCTTCCTTGTACTCAATTGTTATCTGTGTAAGATTTCAGCTATTTTCTCTCCCCGTGTTTACAAGCTTAACTTCATAAAACCGCGGTCAAAGCTTAGGGGATGGAAATCTCCCTCCCCTTAGGGTCGGTGTCAAACCCAGCGTTAACGCGGGATTTACACAGCTCCAGGCCCTCAACCCAGATGACCGCTACCCCTTCCTTGAGGGCGGAGCGTCCGGCACAGCGCCGCCCCCGCCCACCTCCCGCCCGCCCCCAGGGCGCCGGCGGCTGCTCGCCGCGGCCCCGCCCCCTCAGCCCCGCGGCCCTCGGGTCCTGGCACCTCCTCTTTCCTCCGATTAGCCAAGGCAGAGTGGCCTTCTAACGCAACTGTCGCGAAAAGCCTGCCCGCATCCTGCAGGCGGAAGATAGGCCTGGGGGGGAGGGGGGGAGGGTGGCCAACAGTTAGTACGCCGAGAGACGGTGACACAGCCCCAGTGACGCCGATTGCCTTAGTGCCACCACCCCACCCCCCTCCCGCTCTACCACTCGGGTCATTTGGGTGACCCCTCTTCTGAAGGCGTCAGGCTGTGTGGTTCGCACTCCCCACCTCCCTAGAGACTCCGCCGCCCCCACTCTCTGGACCTATCATCGAAAGTGTGCTCTTTCCACCACACCGACCCAAATCGCTGTTTTCCAACTCTATTTCTCTCCTCCACTTAACAAATATGTATTGTCTCTCCGCCTTGCACAGCCTCCTGGTCCAGGCCCAGGAGCCAGGGCTTGGCCAGACCCTGCTGGCCTGGTGCCCAGAGCCCCCTCTGCCCCCTGTTGTGCAAGGATAGAATCTGCAGGACAGTTCTGTCCAGACTGCTGGGTTTCTGTCTAGCTCAAGCTCTCCCCATGTGGCTAGCCCCAGGTGTACATGTTTTGTACCTTCGCCGTTGACTGTTCAGAGTGTCTGAAAATTATTTAAATCCTTTGCTGTACGTTTGTGTCTCTAGATTATGAAGTTGTCATAAGTAAATAAAACTCCAGAGTGTGTGTGTGTGTGTGTGTGTGTGTGTGTGTGTGTGTGCATCTCACTAACAATGAACCAGAACTGCTATAGTTCTAGAAACACAAGGGTGAAGACAGAGGAAGTAGGAGCAGGGCAGTGGCAGGGGGGAAGAAACAATTTATGTAAATAATTAAACCAATGTCAAACATTATTTGACTTTCATCATGATTTTTTTATCATTTTATTGGGGGATCGATCGTACTCTTATCACAATCTATCCATGCATCCATTGTGTCAAGCAT